ATCCGAACTGAGACGAGTCACCCAACAATTATAGGCATCGTTCAACTTGGCCACACCATGTATTGATGAATCAGATGGCGATCATCCGTTGAGCCGATCTTGCACAACTTGCACAAGGTGCAAACATACCGTGCTGTTCCGCAACTGAACTTCTCCCGATTCTAGCCGACTGACCCCTCCACTACATCGTCCACCACCGGATTCCTTTGCTCATTTACAACCGATATTGGCCGATTTATCGTGCTAAACCCCCTTCGTTTGACTCTTCTGCTCATTTACAACCGATATTGGCCGATTTATCTTGCTAAACCGTCTTCATCGAATTCCTCTGCTCACTTTCTATCGGTATAGGCCGATTTAGCTTGCTGAACCGTCTTCATTGCTTCTCCTCTGGTCATTTACAACCGATATTGGCCGATTTATTGTGTTAAACCGTCTCCATCGGATTTCTCTGCTCATTTTCTACCGATATGGGCCGATTTATCGTGCTAAACCGTCTTCATCGGATTCCTCTGCTCATTTTCTATCGAGATGAGCCGATCTAGCGTACTAAACCGTCTTCATCGGATTCCTCTGCTCATTTACAACCGATATAGGCCGACTTATTGTGCTAAACCCCCTTAATCGGATTTCTCTGCTCATTTTCTATCGATACGAGACGATTTAGCCATACACCGGCATACGAGTCCCGCTGCCGGCGAGACTCGGTTCCCTCCCGCTTCCCGCGAGGGAAGCGGGAGGGAACCGAGTACTCCGGGAGACTCCGGTAGTTGAGTAGACTATCCAGGAGTCTACTCAACTTCTGGTGCGAAGTGGAGGGCATGCTGTCAGAGTATAGCATCATCTTCCAATCTTCTCCTGGAGCTACAATCTTAGACGTAAGAATGTCACTCAAACTTATCATGATGCGGCGCCAGTGAGGCGGGACGTCGTCGAGGACATCTCTCGATATGTTGTCTGCCAGCCAGTTCTCGGATGAGGAGACATGAGCAAGGACCAGACGGTCAGTGAAGCAGCCAAACCAGTGTGCAACACCACGAAGGACAGCTGCAAGCGCTGGTTTCGGAGAGTACAACTTCGGAAGTTGAACTTCCTCAAAATTCCGATGACACCCTTGTTATCACAGAATAGCACTACCGTTCGGTAAAGATACGGAACTGACCTGCGCGGATCGGCCGGAGATACCATTCAACTCCTTATTTATGGATTTACTGTAACCACCTATATTGTGTTCAGTAATATGGAGGTTTGGGTGGTTGCCACTGGTTTATCAAACCCGTGGCGCTTCTAAACTTCATCTCCTATATACAACATCCTAGTTATAACACCAGGTCAACCACGAAGGTCAATAAACTAGGGTGTTGTGGAACCACTCAAATGGAGATAATCTAGAAGCCCTCCATAGAACTTAGAGAAAAAAGAAAAAAAATAAAACATTATAGTTGAGTTTCCAGAAACACCACGAGGAGGTCTCTGAGCTCGTTCCCATCTAACAGTAAATCTCAATACATTCGTCCTTGAACTAGCCCCATAAATGGACCTTCATTCAACTCCTTATTTATGGACTTACTGTAACCACCTATATTGTGTTCAGTAATATGGAGGTTTGGGTGGTTGCCACTGGCTTTTCAAACCCGTGGGGCTTCTGAACTTCATCTCCTATATACAACATCCTAGTTATAACACCAGGTCAACCACGAAGGTCAATAAACTAGGGTGTTGTGAAACCACTCAAATGGCGATAATCTAGAAGCCCTCCCAATAAACCGCCCAAACCAGTTCATCAAGTTTCCGACATCAAGTTAATGTCCTCAGCATATGTTGCACTCGAACGCCGACAACTATGACCTGTAAACTTCATCATATCGTCAATTTCTCGCTTGGAGAAATCAAAACGCTTCGACAGTTCCATACCAAGTTGTGGAGCATTCGTCGGCAACTTCTAGTAGATCTTATCAAATATTCTCAAGCATGCTGGTACACTTACAACAACCTTTGCCATACGGTGCACCACACAACATAATCCTCTATGCATACGCTGATCCTTGAAATGTACACAATCACGCACTATAGTCTCAGAGGAACCCATTTTGGTAACACCCAACTCAATCTCTATAGTCATACCTATCGATCCTTTAGATGCACCATCAATAACTTTGATATCCTTTGCTCGAATTTCCAATAACTATCCAGGTCGTAGAGCTAATGAAGTGCCCATTAGGAAAGTTCCACCGTTCTTAACACACCAACCGGTAATTTGAGCAAACTTCCCGCTACTTTTCCGGTATCGACGAAGCTTGCCTCTTTTTCATCTGAGGTTTCATCCTACGCGCCGATTGCAGCGTCCGAGCTACCAGCTTTTCATCCGATGTCGGAATATCACTGAAACCATATAACTGGTTGAGTGTCTTCAATCCCGATGTGTATTTCGATATCGTTGTGTACTGCAAATTTATTGATTCCACTAAATCCCTCACAAACGTACCTTCAAACCAGCCAATAGGAATTCCATTCCCATGGATTTGTATTATTTATACGCAGATTCATAACCCTTTTTTTGTTTCTGCTGATATATAAAGCTCTAGGAAATCAAGGAGATTCTTTCTCTTCTGTTCCGTTTCCGCCCTAGCTTGATGAGAAGCCCACTCAGCAGACTTGGAGAACATCTACTTTGATGCAAAATATTTCAACACTTATTCAACACAACAAACAAACGCAACAAATTACTTTCAAATTATATTCTGTTGATGACGGGAAATCCGTTTCCCATTCGACACACACCGAGTATCAACTACTAACATCGGATTATATCCTAGTTAAAAGAACACTCACAGAAACAAACTTCCAACCTCACACAAGATACCCGTATCAACTTAATACTATCAAGTATCGGTCATTGATCCACAACCGGCTATCGTTTAGCTGCCATATTATCTCTCGGGCCCTGCCCCTGATTGTTAATAGCTCTTTTATCCATATTAGCATCCCTTTGCTGAGTAGTAGGCGGTGAATGCCCAGCAAACTTGTAATCTTTACATGAGCACTCTCCTTTGGTAAACCTGCATGTACCTTCCCACACCACTTTTGACATATTTCTCGGCCCAGGTGCATTCGGTTTCCCCAACATCGGGGAAGCATCCGAACACACCTCTGCAAGACCCTCAGGCTCTAGACTCTAGCCAGAAAGATAGAGGATGCCTGATGATCTTCCATCTTGACCTCATCATGAACGGGAGAAGATTGCAACAGTCTCATGCATAACATCATTCGCTGACGATAACGTCGATCAAACAACTGTGCTTTACCAAAACCCTGTTTATTTGATATCGGAGCAAACCTCGCAGCATACTCAGTGAGTATTACTCACAGACATGTATCAAGTCACCCTTATTCTCAAGAACATATATAGAGAAGGCCCACCGCAACATCAATGGAAGCCATTGCTCAGAGGTATTAGGAGGTTTCCCCGTGGAAAGTTTCGCAGTCTCCACGGCTTGACCATCTAGAGTGAACTGTATAACACTGTTATAATAACAGACTTTCTGGCCGCCGCGGTGATCTCAGGATAAGTCTTAAATTTAATAAATGAATATCTATCTCGAGACAAGACCTCCGCAACATGTGGAAAAGAACCAGTTCGTTACTGGGTAACAACCAAATAACTGTGCAGCTGACACGAGTATCGCATCTACAGAGAACTTCGCCTTTACCACATTCTCTTTTTGAGAAGCAGCGGCAATCAACGCAGCTCTGAGTCTTGCTCTTCTCAGTCTCACAGCGATAATATCAGCCTGAGACTGTTCGGCATCATCATCCAATACAGCACCCAGAGCGACAGCACAAGCAACTACCATTTCTCCCAACAACTCGGCATCATCAACCGCTGCCTTCAACGTTCTCAAAGAGTCAACCGAAAAGGGTGGTTGAGCTAATGTCTCAACTATGGTCCCAGACAGATCTGGAGCAGTTGAAAACGTCGACATCAACAACGGTTTATCCATATTTTAAAACAAAAGAAAAGGAACCTAAAGACGAAGGATAAACAAAATACGAGGGCAATTCAAGCATAACGCCACTCAGAGGCGGCTGGAACTCGAAATCGCCATGAAGATGAATCAAACAAAATAAACGAGCAGTAAAGCGAAAGAATAATAACACTTATGATAAACATGTATGTGATTAAAAATCATCACGATTACTTAGTACGCGAAAAGCTAGTAGTTTACACAAATCTAGCGTCGCACCACCCGAATCGACCGACTTGACAATGGTACCCTTTATCCACCACACAACACATTTACTCCTAATTAGGGATCGACCATCCAACCACACATGGATTCCGACAACTGTCGACCGCATACTCGTTCAACACCGAGCAAACTCCCTCAACACGGGATACATCCATTAGTGCACCAAACAGGTGACTAACCAACCACTACCGCAACACAAGGCAACTTCAAATGAACAGTGAACAGAACATACATGTGCATAACTTACCATACATATGTATGTCGGACCAATACCATAATCGGACCCATTCAGTTGGACTGAAATAACAAGGATTTAGAGGCGTGACAGAACGAGAAGCAAACCAACTAAGCGATAACAAATTGTACAAGGAAACAGAGAGGAAACAATCGAATGCTCAGATGTTAGCCTCAACAATAAAACATTATAGTTGAGTTTCCAGGAACACCACGAGGAGGTCTCTGAGCTCGTTCCCATCTAACAGTGAATCTCAATACATTCGTCCTTGAACTAGCCCCATAAATGGACCTTTATTGAGGCCGCCAGATGCAGAGAGATTACAGAGGCAATAAGTTTCAAGAGAGCGATGTCCCTGTGCGATGGCACACCATCGTCGCCTTCGGCCAGCAGCTTGGCCCATTCGCATAGGGACTCCGAGTCAGCCTTCAGTTGGAACCATAGCCCTCTATCGCCATCGGATACCCAACCCCCCATGAACTCCGTGGACGCGTCCGACGCCAATACCAGATGGGATCCAGCAGGATGGGGTAAGCCCATTGGCATGCGAGAACGCGGATGCTCGGCTATACCGAGCCAGAAGAGTATCGAACCGAATGTCTTCGACGAGGGTCCCAGTTTGATCGAACGTAGGTGTTTCTTTTCAATTACGTTCAGAGTGACATACAGCGGCTGCAAGAAGCCCTTCAAATGCCTCATACCTTGGGAGGCAAATACTAGCTTCCCCAGCACTTTTTTCAGCGGAGCAGGCGTCATATACCCCTTATCGGCGAAGGAGAGGAGGATGTCTCGAATTGACAAAAATATGTCGGGGTGAACCCCAACTTCCGCCTTGCCTCCTGGCAACAACACCGCCTCATAGCCTATGAACTTCACGGCGCGAACGCCGAACTGGCACTTACGCCAGTTTATCTCGAAGTTTAGGCATCGCCAGACCAGTAGCGTCAGGATAGATCCGACTGTGTAATAGGGCTGCGTCAGCGCCACCAGACCGTCGTCAACGTAGACGAAAGAGAGAAACTTGACCTGGCCGAGGATGTGCCTCAACAGCGAGGCCACTATACGACTGATCGCCGCGCTGGTGCGGCACCAGTGGAAGGGAGAGGTCCCCGCCCCGAAGGGCAATGCCAGGTTCTCGTAAACCTCTTGATCAAGTCGAACCGATGTCCTTGCCCTGTCTACGTTATTGAGAAACAAGTGACGATACGCCGAGGCGATGTCAAACTTCAGAAACACATAGTCATAGGGGCCCTTGGCCGTCCGATCCCGACCACACTGGCAGGAGCTACTCGGTGAACACCCATAAAGCAGAGAGACCACTGCGGTATCTTGGCCCCTCGGCAACGAACACGTCTCGGAGAGCTTGCACATACCGTTCAAGCCTGACCGAGAGTGGTCCTCTATCAACCTATACTCGTGGTCGCCCTTAGGTATGAGGGCCATCTTCGCATAGAGCCGATGGGATGCATAGGCAGCCTGTGCAAGAGAGAGCCGCCTCATGCGACCTAAAGCAACCTCTTCACAGAGTATCGCCCGACAGACTTCAGGCTGCGCCTCAACGGAAGAGAAGTTTCGATAGGCTCGCTTGAGGTTAAAGACCTCCATCGATTTATCGAGGTCCTTCTCCGACTTTGCCTCATGGAACACACCCGTTGGAGGAATCGGAGGATCCACTCCAAGATTCAGACCCTGATCGATCTCGACGAACAAGTGAGAATCGGGATCGTTAGTGGCCATTGCCAAGGCTTCCCCAAGCTTTGCTCGAATGGGACTACCACAAGCCGATAGACCGTCAGAGCACTTTAGAGCGGCATAGAGTTTGGGAACCAGCGATTCCACGGTTGACTGAAAGGAATTCTCAAGCTCTTCAACCTGTTCAAGCGGAGGCGAACCAGCCAGATCTCGGAGACAACCTCTAGCTTCCATCGACGAAGCTTCCTCGAGAAAGATCTCCGCCACTCTCGAGAGACCAGACGGACACAAACCCCAGGCTGTTTCCCGTGATCTGAAGTTCACTCGCACTACTGGTGAACTCAACCGGCACATTCTCAAAACGAGAAACCGACGACACACGTCTTACTATCATGGCGAGTACACAGAAGGCCAACCCTCAGGAGTCGAGAGCTCAACCGGACTTACCAGAAGAGTCTTTCTTGTCCTCCTTGTCCGCGACTTTTCGCTGGGTCTCCCCGGAAGGCCTTGCTTCCGCCGTGGACTCACCAGACACCTTTCTAGGGCCACTCGAGTGACGAAAGCGGCAGTTGTTTCCAAAGCGACAGTTTCCGTCGCGAAAGGCGTAGCAGATGACAAACTTCGAACCCTGTTTACTCAAGGGGCTGTTGGAGTTGTCCCGAGACGCCATTCTGGACCGATTGAAGGAGAACTCAGCTAGCAGGGTCGGGTAGGCATCGCCAACGAAGCAGTCACGCACTGAGCGGCTAGACGAGGCCGCCGATCTTCGGTACTTATCGTCGTAGAGAACCAGTTCTTCAACCGCAGCGTGCTAAACCGTCTTCATCGGATTCCTCTGCTCATTTTCTATCGATATAGGATGCTTTAGCGTGCTAAATGATCTTCATCCGACTCCTCTGCTCATTTTCCATCGATATGGGCCAATTTAGTGTACCCGAAAACCCCCTTCACATCGTATTCCTCTGCTAATTACCTATCGGTATAGGCCGATTTAGCGTGCTGAACCATCTTCATCGGATTTCTTTGCTTACTTTCTATCGATATGGGGCGATTTATCGTGCTAGACCCCCTTCATCCGACTCCTCTGCTCATTTTCTATCGACATAGGATGCTTGTGATAAACCATCTTCATCCGACTCCTTTGCTCATTTTCTATCGACATAGGATGCTTTAGCGTGCTAAACTCCCTTCATCGGATTCCGCTGCTCATCTTCTATCGATATAGGCCAATTTAGCGTGCTAAGCCCCCTTCATCGTATTTCTCTGCTAATTTTGTATCGATATAGGCCGATTTAGCGTGCTAAACCGACTTCATCGGATTCCTCTGCTTATTTTCTATCGATATAAGATGCTTCAGCGTGCTAAATCATCTTCATCCGACTCCTCTGCTCATTCACAACCGATATTGGGCGATTTAGCGTGCTAAACCGTCTTCATCGGATTCCTCTGCTCATTTCCTATCGATATGGGACGATTTATCGCGCCAGACCCCCTTCATCCGACTCTTCTGCTCATTTTTTTTCAACATAGGATGCTTTAGCATGCGAAACCATCTTCATCCGACCCCTCTGCTAATTTTATATCGATATAGGCCGATTTGGCGTGCTAAACCCCCTTCATCGTACTTCTCTGCTAATTACCTATCGGTATAGGCCAACTTAGCGTGCTGAGCTATCTTCATCGGATTCCTCTGCTCGTTTTCTATCGATATAAGATGCTTTGGCATGCTAAATCATCTTCATCCGACTCCTCTGCTCACTTACAACCGATATTAGCCGATTTATCGTGCTAAACCGTCTCCATCGGATTCCAATGCTCATTTTCTATCGATATAGGATGCTTTAGCGTCCTAAATGGTCTTCATCCGCCTCCTCTGCTCATTTACAACCGATATTGGGCGATTTATCATGCTAAATCGTCTTCATCGGATTCCTATGCTCATTTTCCATCGATATAGGCCGATTTAGCGTGATACACCATGCTTATCTGACTCCACTGCTCAGTTACAACCGATGTTGGCTGATTTATTGTGCTAAACCGTTTCCATCGGATTCCTTTGCATATTTTCTATCGATATAGGCTGATTTAGCGTGATACACCATGCTTATCTGACTCCACTGCTCAGTTACAACCGATGTTGGCTGAACCGTTTATTGTGCTAAACCGTCTCCATCGGATTCCTCTGCTCATTTTCTATTGATATAGGCCAATTTAGCGTGCTGAACCGTCTTCATCAGATTTCTTTGTTCTTTTTTCATCGATATGGGGCGATTTAGCCTGCTAAACCATATTCATCTGATTCCTCTGGTTATTTACAACCGATATTGGCGGATTTATCTTGCTAGACCCCCTTCATCCGACTCCTCTGCTCATTTTCTATCGACATAGGATGCTTGTGATAAACCATCTTCATCCGACTCCTTTGCTCATTTTCTATCGACATAGGATGCTTTAGCGTGCTAAACTCCCTTCATCGGATTCCGCTGCTCATCTTCTATCGATATAGGCCAATTTAGCGTGCTAAACCCCCTTCATCGTACTTCCCTGCTAATTACCTATCGGTATAGGCCAACTTAGCGTGCTGAACCATCTTCATCGGATTCCTCTGCTCGTTTTCTATCGATATAAGATGCTTTGGCATGCTAAATCATCTTCATCCGACTCCTCTACTCATTTACAACCGGTATTGGCCGATTTATCGTGCTAAACCGTCTCCATCGGATTCCAATGCTCATTTTCTATCGATATGGGATGCTTTGGCATGCTAAATCATCTTCATCCGACTCCTCTGCTCACTTACAACCGATATTAGCCGATTTATCGTGCTAAACCGTCTCCATCGGATTCCAACGCTCATTTTCTATCGATATAGGATGCTTTAGCGTCCTAAATGGTCTTCATCCGCCTCCTCTGCTCATTTACAACCGATATTGGGCGATTTATCATGCTAAACCGTCTTCATCGGATTCCTCTGCTCATTTTCTATCGACATAGGATGCTTTAGCGTGCTGAGCCATCTTGATCCGACTCCTCTGCTAATTTTATATCGAGGCCGATTTAGCGTGCTAGACGCCCTTCATCGGATTTCTCTGCTCATCTTCTATCCATATGGGCCGATTTAGCTTGCTAAACTCCCTTCATCGCATACCTCTGCTAATTATCTATCGGTATAGGCCGATTTAGTTTGCTAAACCGTCTTCATCGGATTCCTCTGCTCATTTTCTATCGATAGAGGATGCTTTAGCGCGCTAAATTACCTTCATCCGACTCCTCTGCTCATTTACAACCGATATTGGGCGATTTAGCGTGCTAAGCCGTCTTCATCGGCTTTCTCTGCTCATTTTCCATCGACATGGGATACTTCAGCGTGCAAAACCATCTTGATCCGATTCCTCTGCTAACTTTATATCGATATTGGGCGATTTAGCATGCTAAATCATCTTCAGCCAACTCCTCTGCTCATTTACAACCGATATAGGCCGACTTATCCTGCTAAACCCCCTTAATCGGATTTTTCTGCTCATTTTCTATCGATACCGGACGATTTGGCGTGCTGAACCGTGTTCATCCGACTCCTCTGCTCATTTTCCATCGATATGGGCCAATTTAGCGTACCCGAAAACCCCCTTCACATCGTATTCCTTTGCTTATTACCTATCGGTATAGGCCGATTTAGCGTGCTGAACCATTTTCATCGGACTCCTCTGCTTATTTTCTATCGATATGGGGCGATTTATCGTGCTAGACCACCTTCATCCGACTTCTCTGCTCATTTTCTATCGACATAGGATGCTTTAGCGTGCTGAGCCATCTTTATCCGACTCCTCTGCTAATTTTATATCGAGGCCGATTTAGCGTGCTAAACCCCCTTCATCGGATTCCGCTGCTCATCTTCTATCGAAGATGGCCCATTAGCGTGCTAAGCCCCCTTCATCGTATTTCTCTGCTAATTACCTATTGGTATAGGCCGATTTAGCGTGCTGAACCGTCTTCATCGGATTCCTCTGCTCATTTTCTACCGATATGGGCCGATTTAGCGTGCTAGACGCCCTTCTTCGGATTTCTCTGCTCATCTTCTATCGATATGGGCCGATTTAGCTTGCTAAACTCCCTTCACCTCTGCTAATTATCTATCGGTATAGGCCGATTTAGTTTGCTAAACCGTCTTCATCGGATTCCTATGCTCATTTTCCATCGATATGGGACGATTTAGCGTGCTAAACCATCTTTATCCGACTCTTCTGCTAATTTTATATCGACATAGGCCTACTTGTCGTGCTAAACCATCTTTATCCGACTCCACTGCTCCTTTCCCCTCGATATTGGCCGATTTATCATGCTAAAACGTCTCCATCGGATTTCTCTCCTCATTTTCTATCCATATAGGCCGACATATCGTGCTAGACCCCCTTCATCCAACTCCTCTGCTTATTTTCTATCGCTCATCCGACTAAACGCTGCTCATCCGACTCCTCTGTTCATTTTTTATAGATGTGGGTTGATTTAGCGCGTTAAAGCGTCTCCATCGGATTTCTTTGCTTATTTTCTATCGACATAGGCCGATTTAGCGTGATACACCGTGCTCATCTGACTCCTCTGCTCACTTTCTATCGGGATAAGAAGCTCTATCGTGCTAAGCCGTCTTCGTCCGACTCCACTGCTCATTTTCCACCGATATTGGCCGATTTACCATGCTAGAACGTCTCCATCGGATTTCTCTGCTTGTTTTCTATTGATATAGGCGGACTTATCGTGCTAGACCCCCTTCATTGGACTCCTCTGCTCATTTACGACCGATGTTGACTGATTTATCGTGCTAAACCATCTCCATCGGATTCCTCTGCTCATTTTCTATCGATATAGGGCGACTGATCGTGCTAGACCCCCTTCATCCAACTCCTCTGCTTACTTACAACCGATGTTGACTGATCTATTGTGCTAAATCGTCTCCATCGGATTCATTTGCATATTTTCTATCGATATAGGCCGATTTAGCGTGATACACCATGCTTATCTCACTCCACTGCTCAGTTACAACCGATGTT